GGCTAGACTATCACATATTGTGACGCGCATGGCGAGAGAAGAAATTCATCCTCAAACATATAAATACTTCTACGATCAAAAGAAAAAGGAGAGCGATGTAATAAGCAAAGCAAAGGCAACACAAATTGTGAACAAGCATATGATGAACTGCTCCACGGCACTAGCAGATTAGGGACACCAAAATGAAACCGGAGACCCATTTCCCAGGCGTCAGGATGGCACTTGTTCACGCCCCAGCGTATCACAGAATGGTGAGGAGGACGCCAAATAGGATCTCCAGCAACTCCACTCTCTGGGTATATCCCCGGAGAGATCTCTCACTTTGGGCACATGTACAAAGATGCTGTGAGTACCATTCCCAACGCAGAAAAGAGTTAATGCCTCAAATGTCTTTAAACGGGAAATGGATTTCAAGAATTAACGTATATTCATAAAACAGGCAAAATGAGTAAGGAATCTATACGCATCAACACGGAGGAAAATCTGCAAAATGTTACAGGAGGAAAGTTACATAAGGGTGGGCATAGCGGGATACTCTTTACATGCCTATCAAAAAGATCTGCTGCAGGGGCGCCTGAGGGGGCTCAGGCAGTTGAGCGTCCAACTTGCGCTCAGGGTATCACCTCACGGTTCATAGGTTCGAGCCCCGCATCCGGCTCTGTGCTCAGAGCCTGGAGTGTGCTTTGGACGAGGAAGGTGGTTATGGGGGGGGTGGGGGGAGATGGGGGGGGCGGTTGGAGACCCGGCAGAGAGGCAGGGGAGGGAAGGGGAGGAATACAGGCAGAACTTCAACATTCAACGCTTAACAAATACGGACGGAGAGCCGCACTGCTTTAGCCACTGAGGATAAGCAGAGAACGCGACAAAAATCCCTGCTGTCGGTGAACTTTCACATCGCTGGAGAGACACATAAAAACCAGGGCAAAGAAGGAAAATATACATCAATTGTATCTCCCATGATAATAAGTTCTGTGCAGCAAAGCCATGCAGGGAAGGAGATAAAAACATTGAGGGTAGAGATTTGTAATCGACACTAAACAGGCCAGCCAGCCCCAGCCAGGCGGCACCTCAGTCAGATGGAAGGACAGACAACCTAAGCGGGGGTGGGGATGAGGGCCAGGTCTCGGGAATGGCAAGGAGGAAGGCGGGACTGGACAGACTGGAGTGGGGGGCATCTTAGGAGATGAGGCCAGACAGGGAACTAGTGGGCGCTGTAGGCCGGGACCATGAGCTGGAATTTCCACTGACTTGATACTTGAGGTACCAAGGCCTCGGACAGTCTGAACAGAGGAGGGACGTGTGCGATTTCCACCTTAGCACAACCAGCCTGAGCATCTCATCGAAGAACACGTGCAATGCCAGAGGCCACTGCAGTAACCCAGGAGACGTCTGACGGTGGCCTGGACCAGGGTGGTCGTGATGACACATGGTCAGATCCTGAAAACACTGACGGGATTCACCGATGCAATAATTAGGTGAGAAACACAGTCAGCGGTGACTCGGTCTTCTATTATATTCTATGATGCTTTATTTCATTTTTTAAAAATCTGACTCCAATGTGGCCAAATGCCAGCATCTGTTCCCTCAAGGCAGGGGGTCCAGGAGATTATGTGCATTTATTATTATTTTCTGTACCCTGTGGTATGTCTGAAACATAACAGATTACCGAATGGGGTACGTTCATCGGTCAGTGTCTGAGGTTTTTCTTCAGGAAAAGAGGACACCAGTTAGGGTTCACTACTCTGAGTCTTGATAATAACAAAACAACACCTTCACTTCTTAAATCGTCTTAACGGTTCACGTGCCTACTAGTAAGATGGCCAAACAGTGGGGACAGAGAGCTAAAGGAAGTGATTCACTTTTAGCCTCTGCACACCCATTTTACAACCGATTTACAATAAATGCAAAAGCTTAATATTTTCTACTAAGATCCCTCCTGGGTAGGATGTTCACTCCTCTTATTCTACGACTAATCCTTGAAGTTACATGCCAAGGAGGTTAATGAAATAGTTTAAAAATCGTAAGTCATGGTTGATAACCTATATACACACTTTTGCTTCACAGGTTTATTTACTTGTTTCATCACTTTTTATAGCGTCTATAATTGTGAATGGCTGTTTGCTAGTTTTAAACTAATGGAATAAAACTTCCAAGGATCTGTCCTTTGCTTACCAGGAAAGCACTTTCTCTCCCAGACATCCTGAAACCTTCCTATCCATTCTAGCTTACACACTACTTGTCTCTAAAGTCTGGAGACAGATTTTTTTTTTCTGAATTCTTTAACGTTTTATTTTATTTTTTGAGAGACAGAGAGGGACAGAGCACAAACAGGGGAGGGGCGGAGAGAGAGGGAGACACAGAATCCGAAGCAGGCTCCAGGCTCGGCGCTGTCAGCACAGAGTCCGATGTGGGGCTCGAACCCATGAATACGAGACCATGACCTGAGCCGAAGTTGGATCCTCAACCGAATGAGCCACCCAGGCGCCCCATGGAGAGAAATTTTTTTTTAACTTAAGAAACAGATTCAAAACAATGTAAGTATGGGTCTCTGTTCTCTGCAAATCTCCCATACCATCAGATATCTTTTGTTTCATCAGCTCCTTCCCACTGGGGAATGAGAGGGGATAATATCTTTTGTTTAGGGATCAGGCAGCATGTAATTGTAAGTGGTGTTTACCGTTCTAACGGAAATCTAAACCACCTAACACTTTCGTGAAAGCATATACGCAAGAAACCATCTAAAGTCACTTCCCAACATGAGTAATAAATCCGACGTACTGTACGTACAAAGTTCAGAACTTGAGTTAAAAGCAACTTTTATAAGAAGAGCACATACGTTCGTAGGTTAATAAAGAGTGGTGTTTGAAAAAGTTCTACGGCATGATCCCCGGCCTCGCTGTTGACAAATTAGCTCACAAGCAAACCATAAAATCACATCTACCAAAAACCCTACCACCACCCTCTCAATTTTAACGCACTTTAATTACAAAAATAGGTTTTACTATGTGCGTTAACATATACTCAACATGTTCTCCCAAAATGGTGAGAGTTCAGCAAATAAATTAGCCAAGACTTTGTTATAATCACAGGCCCCGGGACAATTATTCCCCAGAATTCTAATTCTCCAACTGTATTTCTCCAAACATCATGAAATACAATTATCCAAAGAGGCACACCTACTTTCCAAATAAATACCCAAATTATGCCAACAGTCTCTCTTCTAAAATGCATTTCTAACAGTGTAATAAGTTCATAAGAAATATATTTTAAAAAATCTAGAGATAGTGTTAAACATGAAAACCCTGCTTAATGGAATAATCCAGCAGCCAAAACACATACCCAGATATTTTCCCTCTTTTCACCATGTGAGGAAATACCTGAGCAATTTTTTTTCTTTAAATTCTTCAACAGATCTTATTACTACCTAGGCATTTTATAATTTCCAACCAAGCAGCATTTTAGATATCCAGGAGGAAGTCTTTCTTCGATGACCTGGACCCATCCGCACAAATGCTCAGATCACAGAAGTCAGGAAGGAGTAGAGATCGTGTGTGGGACTGACTGTGAGATTCAACAAGTGACCTGTTGCTAGATGTCACGCAGGAAAGGATTGCGACCTTTCTCTGATCTGCTACCGCTCGATAGTTCGTGGTAAGAAACCTATCATGCTAGAGGATTACAAAGATATCCAGCCTTGTGTCACTGGTTTGACGCGGCAGAGCGTCCCATCTGATTGACAGTCACGATCTGGCCAGGGTCACCTTCGAGGACCCTCGGGAACTGGCGTCCTCTCCACCGAGGAGCACAGAATCGGGGAGGGCACCTCTCCCCGTTAGTCACCACCCGCGTGGCCTCGGACGGGTCACACGGGCTCTGTGTGTGACTCCGCCTCGTGCCAGGGCAAGGCTCATTTCGAGGACGCCGTGGACCCAGGCACGCGGAACGGTCCGGGGAGTGGTCTGCACCAGCCTACCGTGCTCTAACGAGACCACATTCCGCTGCTGCACGACTTTAAGGAGAAGAACTGGCAGCTGACGTGGGGGTACCTTCGCCCGGTGGGGATGAGCACAGGGAGCATGGGGGGGCGGGGGACGGTGAGCGGCCAGCGAAGCACGGCACAGACGGGCCAGGCAGGTGCAGCAGGGGCAAAGGCTGCCTCTGGGACACGACGACCCCCAGGTATCTGGAACTTAACCTGTGGGTATTCATTAACCTCCCAGCGTGAGGAATGCTAGAAATAATCCAGGCCCTGGGGATCTGGAAAGGGCAGCACAGAACCCCTGCATTTTTTGTGATCTGTTAAAATCCTGCAGGAAGTTTATTCGTCTCATCTCTTCCTGCAATTATTCTACCACCCCCTCTGGTTTCCCTCCCACCCCCCTCCCTCCATCCGGCTACTCTCTTCCCTGCAGGGGCGTCAGATCTGCAAGGGGCAGCAAACCGCACGTCACCCCACGACACGCGAGGTACTTACCAAGAATGTGGTTCGTGGGTTCCGGTTTGACATGGTTTTAGTGCGACCCGGCTCCCGACTTAATTATTTTAATGTGTTACCGCATCACACTGTTGGCTACCAGACAGTGAGCTTGGGGGAAAATTAACTTCACGGAAATAAAAACGGAGAGAAATGTTTCTTCCGCATGATGCCGCGTTTCTAACGCCACTTCTCGAACACCTTCAAGCGTTCAGCCTCGATCGCTTAGCTGTGCCCTCGATGGCTTAGCTGTGCCCTCTGTCACCACACCCCAGCACCCCCGCACGCCACGGCGGATGGGGAGCCACGGCGGACGGAGTGGACTTCTCCAGAAGCCCGAAATCACGCACCTCGCCGCGGGAAGGAGCTGTGACAGAGTCCAGTGTCAAGTCACCTGTGAGGTGCACTGTTTTCCCACAATCTAAATCGTTTACAACATAAACTTCTCGAGATCATCGGAGGCACACTTCGGTGACGCCACCTTCCTCAGCCACCCAAACCCTGCACGTTTTCACGGAATACAGACCTTTGGGAGGTGTGAGATTGACTCCATTTTTAAGGCACCATTGTACTGGTAAAATCCCCAAAGAATCCGCATGGCACAACATTGAGAGTTTACTAGGTTCTGGTCTTAGGTCGTCAATAGTCACTTGGAAAAAATGGTTGTTAAAAACCTGAAAGAGAAAACAACCACAGAGCCAAGGGTTAATTCCTCGGGACTATCACACGATGCCGGTATGAAACGCTGGCACAGCTTCCAAATGCAACAAATAGGTTTCATCGAAAGGATTCCGACACAGCCTGGCACCTCAGTGGATATCGCCAAAATGATCCGGTTCAAGAGTCGATCACTGTGGCCGCTTTAATGGAAAGATAAGCGGGTGAGTCGTGTACATACGAAAGCACAAAACGACGTCAGTGACTTTAGAGAAGTAAAGGGACAGTCAGTGCCGGAAGAAAAACACTCATGAAGGAAGACAAACCCAAAGCCAGGATGGGCCCTGGAAGGTCAGTGGTTTCTCCAGGTCCACGGCAGGGACCCACGGCCTCACAGCAGATCATTTAAGAACCTCACTGTCTGGCTTGGAACACTCTTCCTAAGCTAGGATTCCTGGCTCCCTCATGTACAGAATATTTTTCTGGAGGCAGACTAATTAAAATCAAAGCAGGAACGCACGCTCACTCTTGTTCTTCTTCAAGTTACTTCTGGTAAATAGCCCTAATTCTGCTGCCTGAGATCTGCCTCTGAAAGGAGACTTTATGGAGCAAAGGATCAAACTTCACCCTCCCGGCAAGCTCTTCCCTCTGCAGCCCGATTCAAAACCACACCTTCCCTCCCACACTCTGGCCTTCCAGCCTCCTCTGGTCCCTTCCCTGCTGTGTCTTTCTCCTTAGCATTTGACATGTAACTTTCTATTGATTTACTTCCTTCTTCTCTACCATCACCCATTAAAATATAAGCTCTGTAAAAGCAGGGACTTTTGTCCACGTCCCCACTGTCCAGAATAGTGCCTACATTAAACGCCAGTGGGATCTAATCTCACATGCACGTGCACACACACACACACACACACACACACGCACACAGATGTGTATATTAAAAACCTGGAATTCTGATGGCAGAATTTGTTAGCACCACTAGACCCTGTGAGCATGGGCACTGAGGAATCTCCAAAACCTATTAAAACGCATATTCGTGTGCACATACTTCAGAAGAAAAGCTGAATCAGTTTCCTCAACTCCATCACGGTTCATGTCCCACATGGTATAGAAACACTGAGCAATCTGGTCCAAAACCTGTAGGTCTCAGAACTAAAACCTAGAGCAGTTAACCTGCTGGCCCAAGGCTGTGCAGCTCAGAGCCAGCCTTGAAAGAAATAGAACCAAGATTCTTTATCTAAACAATACAATGTAATTCACAGACACAGATGATAGTGTCATTGTCATCATCTGTCTATACTGTATGGTTTTGGATCACCAAACACACAATCTGTAATCTCACCGTCCTGCTAAAGGTTGGGCATTTAAAACACAGTTACTTGCTTTATCCGTTGGCTTTAATGTTATTTATTTATGTCTTTAATAGTTGTGCCATGAAGGAAAGCCCCGAGGAAAATGAAAATGAAGTTTTCATTATCATGAGCAGTTATGTTCGCAAACGTAATATTCTAAAGCCTTCTCCGATGTTACGAGAATTATGTCTAATTATAAATACCTACCACCTTAAAACATCCTGAAATCTCACTACATGCGGGGGGACCTTGAACCTGCCCATCTAAGTCCTGAGAGGCCAAAGCATACGGTCCAGTCCACGTGTATTCTACACCACAGGGCCAAAAAGGGTTCGTGCGGAACAGAAAGACTGAGCGTTTTATCCTTCGCAGAAAGGGTAAGAAGAAACAAAATGAAAAAGAAACTGTAGCTTAAAAAAATCAGAGAAAATATCCTCCCCGCCCCCACCCCCAATAAGACTTATTTATTGTGAAACCAAGCTACTGTCACTGGAAATCTATCCCACAAGACACCGGTATCTGGGCTGAGACTATCCGTAATTAGTATGTCACATTCTAACGGTACAGATTACGATTATTTGCAGGCATAAAAATGTGAGTCCTCTGTGGAGACACTGAGCACACCGGCATCTCTCTTTCGTTTACTGTATAAATACCAGGGGAAGGGGACACCGTTGCCTCTCAGAATGACGACAGGGTAACATTTATGCAGATAAATGGGCAGCTGGCATTACCACATCAGCTGCTGCTGGGACAAAGGGAAATTCTGGCCAGCGTGCAGCAAGGTAACACTTATCAGTTTTGGGAAAATGTGCAATTACCAGAATGCACGAGGAAAACCCCCAAAGGTCAACTTAAATAAAAAAGCTTTTTAACGGATGGTGTTATGACCGAGAACATAAATTGCAACCCTAGAAACCACCGTGGAAAGCATCACTCCGTATTTTTTTTTCTCACGGGCCAGTTGTTCTCCAAATAAATCAGCAGTGATGTAAAAGTAATTTACGTTCTAAAGAAAACCTATGTAGAAGAAAAGAAACACCGCGATCACAACCGTCTTCCATAATATGACGTACATCTCATCAAATCGTGAAGTAAAAAAAGACCACGCCGAATGACTCTGAAACGCCCACCCCTGTATTAACAAATCTAGGCTTCCTTAGTGAAAGAAATGAAAATGGAATTGAGTTTTGAACCGTTAATTAAGTTCCCTCACAAAAGGCCATTAACTAAAACATACACTGGGCAAGAATGTGGCTTTGGTCTCTCCGGCCATCTGTAAGAGGACACTCAAGGTAGAAACACGTGTCTCAGGTGTTACTTCCACAGGTGACTTCCTCGACGGGGAAGGGACATTACAATCTGAAAAGCCCATCGGGCCGTAATGACAGTGACTTTACATTAAAAGGCAATTTTGTCTTAAATTCGCGAATCGGAGAAGCAGGCTCCTCCCTTCGTGGATGAAAGCCAGTGACAAAACGCAAGCGGACGGGGTCGGGGGACACACTGGAGATGGGAATCGGCTTTCCGCCTTTTTCTCGGGTGTTCGAACTATAAACACATCACTCTAACGCCTGCCAGCGGGAGAGGACCAGGCTGCCATTGCAACGCTGACGATGCGTGACTCACGAGCATGTTGTGTCAAAGATAACGGGAACCAACAGGGACACTGAGGTGGCCACGGCCAACAGCGCAAGGTGGATCAGAGTCGCGGCAGAGGTCGCTGCTGCAGACCCAGCGGGCGTCTGGACCTTCTTCCCGGCCACTCGGGGACACCAGCATCTACATTCTGCCCTCCCCGAATCTCTGCTGCAACGGGAGGCAGGGGACCGGCCTCGTTCCCTACGACCAGTGACAGCGGGGCTGGCGAGAAGGTGCCCTCCGCCAGGCGCAGGGGTGCCGCGGCACACCCCTGCAACCGCATATTTCGTCCGGCCGGCTGTGAACGGCAACACGGGGGCTGAGGTGGAAAGCAAAGCGGGAGGCTCACCTTGGTCACTGATGCGGGACAGATATGGAAGGGCTCGCTCAAATTCACTGTTTCTAGCTTCATCCCGACCGTGAAGAAATGGCTTCTCAGATCTGCATGATCCTGCAGGGGAAGCGACAGAAAGGCTGAAAAAGTGGCCGTGCTGTGCATGAACTCGGGCACTGTCTGGACGCCCTCCTTAGACATTTTATTGGGTAACTAAAATCGGATTGAAACAATTAACCCTCCCCCGTTGCAAATTTCTCATTATTGCAAGATACTGCGGATTTAATTATTTTCTGTGGGCTAAATTGCTTTTCCGAGGGAAGGAAACAAGCCTTTGTGGCCATGCTTGAATTTACACTAAGCCAAAAAAAAAAAAAAAAGGAAAAGAAAAAGGAAAAGAAAAAGGAAAAGAAAAAGGAAAAGAAAAAAATCACACGGCACTGCTTTGATCTTCCCAGGCGCTAGAACGGAAGCTCGGCCGAGTAATGGGGGCCATCAGTCATCTGAAACACACAGCAGGCACATCTTCAGCAAACGTGGCCTCGTGCTTCTGGAGGTAACTCCCCAGGGCTTCAGGGAGACCCTGTGGGTGACACGGCCTGTCCCCACATCCTGTGCCTGAGAGCTCACAGCTTATCAGTTCCTGGTGGTCAGCCGCCCATCTGGGGAATGTGTGCCTGTAGAGGTCCAAACAGCTCTGCCCGCGATCGGAACCCGACTCCGGCTCCATCAGGATGAGCCACAGCCCCTGTTTAATAGGCGTCTGGCAGTTTTAAAACCCGCTCACGGCAACCTTCTGTGTGCGAGACGGAGCTCCCCTGCCTTCTCGAGCAAAGAAATTTCAGTGCCCGCTTTCCCTCCACGGCAACAGAGGAGGCTGGCTGAACTCGGGATGCCAGGATTTATCTGGCCGAGACGGAGGTCACCTCCTAATTCACAGTCCGTGCAAATGGTAGCAGATAAAGAAACGTATCTGCACCCCGTCCCTGGGGGACATAATAGCTACAAATAAATCCTACCATTTCTAAATTCATCAACTGGGTGAGAAGCACCAAACCTATCTAGGGATCTACTACTTGCTTCTATCTGCAGACCTCCAGGGGGTTTTTAATTAATTCAGAGGTGCCATTCCTCGTGCAGCCCTGAGGATCGGGCAGAGCCCCGCAGGGCTGGGGCTGCTCCCCCTGCAAAAGCTGGTCAGTGCCGTGGGTGGAGCTCACGAGAACAGAGAACCGCTTACAAACCCCCCCCCCCGCCACGCCACTGCTCTACCAACGAAGGTGCAGGCTTTGAACGCCCAGAGACCACAAGGACCCCGTCTCCTGTCGTCACCGCAGTCTGCAAAGGTATCCGTACCCGGTGGGGGCTCAAGAAATGCTAGGTCTGGAGGAAGCAAGCAGTGTCACATCTGGCGGCGGCAGGGGTGAGGGGTTGATCCACAGGCAGGGATGTGTCCAAAGTGCAACGGCGTAGGACAAAAACTCAATGCATGAACTAGCCCGTTCCCAGCCTTTATCAATTCCTCCAGAACTCAACGATCACGCTGTGCAGAGATTAGATGCATATAAGGAAAAACACAAGGAAACACCCCTCACATGCAAGAGATGATTTTTATGTTTTTATGTTGAAAATATGGCGTTTATTTTTAATGGTGGCTGGGAAACTGGCTCAGGGGGGGATAAAACCTCAAAAGACACCGTATAGAGAGTTAATGCATATTAACACATAATAATTCAGATCGACCACAGTGCCAGGGCAAAGCCAGAAAGCACGGGGGATGACAGAAAAGCAGTAACCCTGAACCACAAAGGACTCGCTGACACCTGAATTACAAGATTAAAAGTTAACGTTCCTGTCGGACATCCATATCACCCCCACCCCCAGCATCTCACTACCAGTGGGAACGCACGCACATTAGTGAACTGTGCAGATAAACACTTTTCCCCTTTTAAGTTCAAAAACCCTTTCCCCTTTTGAAAAAAAGGAATTATTCCAAAACCATAATATAACACAACTTTACCTGAATATAGTCAACAAGTTGAAGCGGTCATTCTTACACGGCTTGACGATACAGAACTTTCCTCAGGAACTAATGACACATTGGTACCTTGAACAATGCGGGGGGACAGGGGAGACAACGTCCTGAACAGTTGAAAACGGGCGCGTAACTTCTGACTCCCCGCCAAAACTTAACTAAGAGCCTCACGTTGACCAGGAGAACCCTTACCAATCCCATAAACAGTCGATGAGCACATATTCTGTACGTTGTGTGCATGACGTACGGTATTCTCGCAACAGAGTAAGCTAGAGAAAAGATAATGTTAGGAAGAAAATCTTAAGAGAAAATACATTTACGGCACTCTCCTGTATCTATCGGAAAAAAAAAAAAAACATCTGCGTGTAGATGGAGTTCAGGTCAATGCTGTTCAAGGGTCGACTGTTTAATAAATGGCCCAGACGAATATAGTATTTTCACAGACGTTCTGCTTCTCTCTGCTATCAGATGTCCCTCCCTGTTGCACAGTTCCCTCTCATTACTAGAGATGTGACTCACCAATAATAGAACATTTATAACTTCTGGTAGCCTCCACCACCAGATCTGCTCTCTTTGCAATTTCCCTCTATCACCTGTTTTCGCTTCCCCTCTGTTTCTGCTGCGAGGTTCCTGACGACATTCTGGGCTTCTGGTCTACCTGCCATCTTCAGCCTTTCTTGACTTCAGCTGTGTGCCCATGCTTTGCCCCATATACTTCTGTCCCTACCTTTGCTCTGAGTAGAGGCAGCTTTCTAAGGCAGGGTCGACACGGGACTGCCAGAACCCTTCTACATCCCAGGCTCTCCGTTTGACCTTGACCATGGACTTGAAGTCTTTAGCCAAGTTTACACTCACCCTATATCTACCGGAAGGTCTCTCCATCACAACTCCTGATGCTGAAAAGTCTATGGGATCAGTCACCCTACACTGCTAGATGTCCCTTAACAGGTGCCTTATGTTACACACAGTTGTTGGGTAGGACCAGGCAATGGCCGCTTTTCCTTAGGAATAAAGCATCAAGGCTTAGGGCAAGAATTTGCTCCTCAGATAACCTTCTCCTTTGGCACCTGCGGCTGGTGTTATAAATGTTCGTCGTTCATGATTTCTGCGTCTACCTCATCCAACCGTATCTCCAGGTAAAGAGGGGATCATTTTGTGCAGATATCACACACTCTGTTCCCTCTTTCCTGGAGTGGCCAAGCGCTGGTCAACCACCGAGTGGTGTCATTCGTAAAAAATACCATTCACATCACAATCACACATTGCCAAATGGGGGACAAAAATAAAATGTTAATGACATTAGTATTTTTTAAAATAATTACAATGGTGTTCTGTCTCAATGATATGAAAATATTTCTTTAAATGTTTATCTGTTTTTGGGAAAGAGAGAGTGAGCAGGGGAGGGGCAGAAAAAGAAAGAGGGGGACAGAGGATCCAAAACCCAATGGGGGGCTGGAACTCACAAACTCTAAGTGAGACCATGACCTGAGCTGAAGTCGGATGCTCAACTGACTGAGCCACACAGGCACCCTGCCATTAAAATATTTTTAAACAATTTAAAAATGATGCTTAGTGACCAAGGGTTTACAAAGAAGTCTTTCATGGTCATCTAGGGCTTGGATTTCCTACATCGTAAACTATTTTGACCAGCTTTCAATTACATGCAAGCACACAAAATTCTTACTTGTGAAATGCATCTGTTTTTGTCCCAAACTATGTGAAAATCCTTCAACCCTCTCATTTAATATACTGGAAAAGGAACCCAGATATTGTGATGGGTACCTGTATTCGAACACAGATGTTTATATTCTGGTCTTGAATATCCACATCTATCCAGAAGAGCCTCTTAAACTTGAAGTCTAAATTTCAGAAACAAGCCCAGAAATTATACAACACATTTCTGTAGCCACAGCCCTACCCTTCACTTTCTTAAAGTCACTTTTAATCAGTAGTTAATCAGTATTAAAAAAACAAAAACAAAAAAAGAGGGATGCCTGGGTGGCTCAGTTGGTTAAGCCTCCGACTTCGGCTCAGGTTATGATCTCACAGTTTGTGAATTCGAGGCCCACATCAGGCTCTGGGCTGACAGCTCAGGGCCCAGAGCCTGCTTTGGATTCTGTGTCTTCCTCTCTCTCTGCCCCTCCCCTGCTCACACTCTGTCTCTCTCTCTCTCTCTCTCAAAATTGAATGTTAAAAAAAAAATTTTTAAAGGAAAGACAAATCTTCCAATGTCTAAAATCCCACCCATTTCGAAGGTAAGTCAACACAACAAAGTCTTTTACATCCAGAAGCAAAGACACATAAGGATTATGAGTTTGATTAGGACCATATATACACCACTCTAATGTTTATGTTTTTCATGAACCATGATGTCATAAAATTTATACTACAAGAGGTAGAACAGTGTCTTCTCAAAGACTGAAACCTCCCGCGGGCCCCTGGAGACCTTGAAACGAACATGACACGAGGCCATGTGTTATGTGCAATACTTCCCCGTCAATGCATAACTCTCTCATTTATGTTCTGTGGTTCACCCAATTAGGACCCCAACAAGCATTTATTGAATTAAGCTGAGGAATGTCCAAAACTAGATGACTTTTTGATATTCATTCCAATTCCAAAGTGTAGCATTCGCTCAATAAGCATGCATTAGACAATGCCAAAGTACCACACATGCAGAGATGCAGAGCGCGCGCGCGCGCGCACACACACACACACACACACACACACACATTATCAGAGGGAGAAGAAAAAAGACAAAGAACAGCTATGGAATATCCAGGCTTAGAAGAAATTCCAGAATAAACATTTTTTCCTACAGCATATAAAAATCACTACTGCTATGATGATGGCAATCTGAGGGTTTCCAGGAGTGAATCTTAATCTGGAATATGAATATGACTCGGAAGAGTAAAGAAAAAATTATGGGAAAGTGGCTTGATAAATTTAGCTCAGGAGGCTGGACCTTAAAATCCCAGAGTTAGGCATGTCAGTTTGATCCAAAAAGGCAAAAGAGTCATTGATACTCCTAAAAAATACTGAGTTATTTTTAAGATAATTAAAGAATTCAACGGCAGTAAAT